CTGTGGGAAGGGGGAGAGAAGGGAACCGGCCGGGGCCCCATGGCTCCAGGGATGCTGCACCTGGGGCTGGTATAGTGTGGAGGGGCAGATGCCCCCTCCAGTTGGTCAGGAAGGTCGCAGGCTGCACCCTTCTCCGGTTGCTGAGGCTAGCACCGATGGCAGGGCCCTGTGGGCACCTCCAAGCCCTGCAGCCTGGCCCAGGCACCTTTTTGGAGGCTATTTCAGATGTGCTGCTCCTCTCCATGGTCCTTGCAGTGCTACCTTGGTGCTGGTCTGAGCCCCAGCTATTGGGGACTAGTCACCCCCTCCCCATGGACTAAGGAATTCAGCTTCATGCCCTCTTCACCGGCACCTTGGGCTGCTGGCAGGGGGCAGACAAGCCACCTCTAGAGCCTGGCGTGGGGAGAGAAGCCAGAGGCCTGAAACTGGGTCCTGCTGGAACCCCAATGCTGCCGTTCTGGTGTCACTCTGTCTCAGACCGTGCCTGAGCAATGGGCACGTTAAAGGCTGGGAGATGGAGAGAGACCCCGAAACTCCCCCGGCCTGGGTCACTGCTGCAATCCTGGCCAGATGCTATCAGGCAAAAGGCTTCTGTCTGCCCTGAAATCTAGTGGGGTGGCCACTCAGGGAAGCGGCTGCCTCTGCTATCAGGCCAGTGTCAGCAAGAGGCATGGCTGTGCGGGCTCTGATAAGGACAAGCACATGCTGAGAGCTGCGGACCTGCGGAGCGAGGCCACGCATCCTTCTCCCCAGGGCGAGAGAATCAAACGGGCCGCTGGCTGTTTTCACAGCAAGTGCGATGTCGGCTGTGCTCGCCGCACGGCATCTTCACTGAAGAGATCTGCTTCGGAAGGAGAGAGAGGTCCTCCCTGCGTGACGGTCAACCCCTGCCATGCTGGAAGTTTGCACCCTGGCTGGGTCATCATGGCTTACCAACGCCAGCCTGTTTTCTGTAGCTGGGTGGAAAACTCTGCTTAGAGTCCCCGGACGACGGCGACGCTCCAGGCTCATTTCACCCTTCAGCTGCGAAGAACCAGGTGAGGTCTTATTTCAACGAGCGACATTTGGAGGCCTGGAGTTGAAGCACCTTCTTCCCTGGGCCAAACCCACCCTTGGGGTGACTCCTTTCATGTCGGCAGCTCCCCATAGCTGCATTGGGCTGTCATACATTGGCCTTCAGTCCTGACCAAACCCCTGGACTTGGTGTGCGTCTTGCAGGGCAGGAAGAAATCCCGCAGCAGTTACTGCATGAATGAGGAGTGTGGAGAGGGTGTTTCCATATGGAAAGGGAGGCTGCAGCCCAGGCAGGGATGCTCTGAAATGAAGCCCCTGGGCAGGCTGCCCTGGGTGGCAGATCAGGATTATGGGCGACACATATTTACCGAAGGCTTCTTGGAGTGTGGTCAGCAGGGAACCCATTTGCCACTTTACTACTGTTTTCTGGTTAAACATATTCATCCACTGAGAGGCTGGGATGATGGTCTTGGGTTGTCTGCACGCTCGGGCAGGCAGCGCTGCATGCGCAACATGGTGTTCGGGGTCATCGAAGGGATCTCTGAGACCTGGAGGAAGGGAAACCCTTTTT